GCTATTCTTGGTTAAATAGTTGTCCTGGGTCTCAGGGGAGACATGCAATTCTGCCCTTTGTCCTGACGGACCCTGATTGCATGGACATTTCGATGAGATAAGGAAAGGAAGGGGAAAGACAACAAGTTTTGCTTCTGTTAAAGGTAGAGACAACTGCCTGTGATCCAGTTCAGCACAGTGCCTGTGAGTAGAAGCTAGAAGTCAGGCAGGAACCAAGGAAATGTATTGCTTTTCTAATTAAACAAAGGACACATAGTTGGCATTCATTTTCCTCATTTTGGCCCTTCAGTCCTGCACTGTGGATATGACATCAAGAAACTAAGCAGCCATATTGTGAACATGAGACCAAAGCTACTACATATGACTGAAAAAGAAGCCAGCTGCCTCCTCCCTGTATTTACGAGGGGGAAATGTAGGCATACTAAATTTAAACACTAAAATTGGCCCAATTTTATTTTAACTGATTCTGCTCTTGGACATTCCAGAATTCATAGGACAGTTGCCCTTGTTCAGAGGGTTCCTCTTCAGGGGTCTCCTCTCCTTCCTTAGGCCTGCTTGTCCTGTCCAAAGCTGTCCCAATGCGTCAGGCCCAGAACCAACTTCTCTATCCTGATGCACAACAGGCAACTTTGTCTCTTGGTCCCAGGACAGGACTTTCACCCAGCCACTGACATCTGTGAGACTGGATAGCCTCATCTCATCACCTCTACTAAGCTTTTATAAAGACCAAGAAACAAAGCATTGGCATCCTAACTTTGGTAAATCATAGCCTTTTAATAAAGTCAAATGGGCCAATGTACTCTAAGAAAAAAATATGGGCCTCTCAATTCTAATGGGCAGTTTTCAAGCCCTAAGAACCATAATGCTCACCTGCTGGGCAACACTCAGTTACAGAGGCCCAGCTCCCCACCCCCACCATGCCCAGAGAAATACCCAATCTGAACAATCCTTGGTCCATGGAGCAAAGGATTAGCCATAGAATTTGTATCTCATTGCTTTTTGGAAAACCGCAAAGGCTATTATGAGGCCAGTTTTTCTGGGCACCTTTTCTTTCCCATGACAAAGAGTTGTGGGCAGTTTCAGCAGAATACTAAAGCTGTGGTTTGGGGAGACAGAGCACATACTGGATTGGGGTTCATGGTGGGTGCATGGAATCAGTGCCAGGCATGGAATCCAAGAACTTACGAATGCCTGGTAGATGCTTTGTTACCGAGATAAATCCCCCACCCGGGCTCTGGCTTCAAGCATGATCTTTGGAAGGAGGCATTAGCTCTCTGCTAATTTTTGTAGCACTTTTATTCCATTTGTTTTCTGCTTGCTTGCTTTGGGGTTTTTGTTATGTTAGAGACAGTCTTGTTGTGTAGCCTAGACTGACCACAAGCCTGTGGTAGTCCTTTCGTCAGCAGACCGAAATTCCCAATTTATCTCAGAAGACAGAAAACAGACTGAGGGATGTATGATAAAGACATTCATCTGCCTTTACTTCTCTTAAAACCTATTTTGAACGGCATAAAACCATGTAGACCAGGAGTCTTGTGTTCTACATGGTCCGACTTTGTCACTTACAATGTAGGGTGCTTTCAGTAAGATTTGTAGACCTCGCCCCGTTCCACCTCCTCTGCTCTCCCTTCCTCGGGTCTTGGGGAGCCTCCTTACCAGGTGGGGTGACACAGAGTCACAGAGCTCTCCCTGCCCCTGGCTCCCCTCTTAAGTGTACCTTGCTGTTGGTCTTGCTAGCAAATGTAGTGCAACATCCACCTGATCTCCTCTCAGATATGGTTGCTGTGTTTGGATGAGCTTAATCTAGAAACTCAAGCTGTGTCTTGGGCCCCTCTTTGGGGACCAGCATTACAGAGGTCTTCCCTTCCTGTCCTTACCTCACCTTTGCTACTATAGTAAGTCAACCCTCATGAGTCCTCCATGAGTCCTGAAACATTAGTTCCAAGAGCTGGAGGATGAGGAGGGACACAGCCTGAAGCAGGGACACTTTCCACTGACCACAGGACCTTGCCCAAGTACACATGGAATGTGTTAGCCACTGTCTCCTTTCTGTCCCTAGCCCCAGTTGATAAACACATTGCCCTAGCAAAAATACCACAGACTGGGGAACTTGGGGACAATTGAAAAGGGCTTTTCAGGGTTTTGGATACTGGGAAGTACAAAGGTTCAGCATCTGGACAGGGCTGCTGCTGTGGTTTCATATGATTCTGCTGCAGCACCCTTTTGAGAGAATCAACACTGCTCTTGATGTGGTGGAGGGTGCAGACACCAACCCGCCTCCTGCAGGCCCTTTCTCAAGGGCTCTAATCCATCCTGAGGGCCATACTCTCAGGACTCATTACCTCCCCAACATCCCCTCTCTAAATAGTACCATAATGCATTTGCATTTCCATATATCACTGGAAGGGTACATATATATATATATACATATATATGTATATGTATATATCCAAACCACAGCATCCCATAAATCAGATAAGGCAGGCCTGCCTTCTATAGTCTTTCCCTTACCTTTGGTGTTTCTAGCCCAAAGCAGCCTGGACTCTCACCCTATGAATGCTCCTGGGAGTGGTGGGCACAAGTAACTTCCCATCATCCCTCTCTCCTGACCTGGCCCAGCACCAGGTCACCAGGAAATCCTCCAGGTTTCATCCCCACCCCCAATCGTCTCTCGTCTCTAGCTAACATCTCCCAATACTTCCGTGGTGGGTGTAGCAAGCCAGATGATAGCCTGCCAAGGAAGTTCACAGCCTCATTTCTGGAGCCTAGGAATATGCTACGTTGTGTGCTAAAAGGAACTTTGTAGGTGTGATTAAATTAAGCATCCTGAAGTGACAGATTATCCAAGTGAGCCCAGTGCAATTACAAAGGTAATCACCAAGGGTGAGGCAGGGAGGTCAGAGAGGGAGAAAGAAGCAGAGGGGCAGAGGGAGAAAAAGACAAGCTAGGGGAGAGGAGTGAGAGACAGACAGACAGACAGACAGACAGACAGACAGACACGAACCAAGGTATTCGAGGCAGTTTTTGAAAGTCACAACAGGCAGGGAAAACAGACTCTCTGCCTCAGGCCCTTCAGAATGAACACAATCCCACAACTGGTTATTTTAGTCACATTAAAGCCAGGTTTGGACTTCTGACCGCCAGAACTGTAGACGAGTAAATAAATCTGCACTATTGTTTAATGATTTATTTATTTACTACCTATACAGTGTTATGCCTCTATGCCAGAAGAGGACACCGGATTGAATTGTAGATGGTTGTCAGCCACCATGTGGTTGCTGGGAATTGAACTCAGGACCCCTGGAAGAGCAGCCAGTGCTCTTAACCTCTGAGACACCTCTCCAACCCAAATCTGCACTATTTTAAGATACCGATGTGATTTTTTTTTGTGAAGACAATAAGGAACTAACAAAGTGAAGTGAAAACTGGATCAACTCTGAAGTTTGCTAATATCTACAGAAGCTGGACACATGCCAATTTTGTGAGGCAGAGCTCCACTCCCAGGTATGGCCCCCACAGAAATGTATATATAGGTGGGCAGGAGATGTCACCTGCTGTGTTCATAGTAGCATCTTTGGACTTTCCCAAGCCTGAGAATAGCCCAAACATCTACCAGGAGCAAAAGAAATTGAGATATACAGACACAATAGGATGCTACACTTCTAAAAGAATGAGAAAAACCACAGCTATACGCTGTATATCATCGGAACAGTAACACAGGGGTGAGAGCCAGGCTATACTCTCTATGATGATAGAAAACACACAAACAGCAAAACAGTTCTGTTAGTGGTAATGGGTTCTGTTTCATGATCTGCATGATGCTTCAGTTTGTGCAAAAGCTCTGGACTTGTGGTCTATACCTTTTAATGTATGCTAGATATACATGAGTAAAAATGTCAAAAAGAGATGGAGGGGAGGAGACTAATGCCTTCGTAAAAGTTTGTTCTGTCATTTCTGGGACTGTCCAAGTGAACGTGTGTAAACAAATAGTGATCCACCCCAGGTAGTCCACCTTCTTAGAACCCACCTCTGCTACAACATGGCCTGTGCTTGTGCACCAAATGTTTGCTAAGAGACACAGGGGTTTTGTTTAAATAAAGGATACCAGCCGGGCGGTGGTGGCACACGCCTTTAATCCCAGCACTCAGGAGGCAGAGGCAGGCAGATCTCTGTGAGTTCGAGGCCAGGCTGGACCGACAGCCTCCAAAACAATACAGAGAAACCCTGTCTGGTAAAAACCAAAAAAAAAAAAAAAAAAAAAAAAGGAAAAAAAAAGAATACCTACCTAGGGGTATATTATCTTTCCCTTTGGGGGGCCTCAAAACTACAAACTAGTTTGAGACAAGTGTGTAGCCCAGGATGGCCTTGAACTCACACCTTCTGTCTCCTGCCTCTTTCCCCAGCGCTAGGATGGCAGGTGAGACTATGAGCCTGACCCCGGAAAACTATCTTTTATTGACATTATCTGGTCAGAAAAGGTCCACCACCGGGTCCTTCAAATGCATGAAGAGCTGAAACAATTCTACTGAATTTCCTTTTTTACTTGATGTTTCTGTGGCACTTAATACCTAATTTTATTTTGCAAAATTTTGTTTGCTTTTCTATTAAACCTTAATTAGAGTAATGAAATTGTAAATCTATAAAAATAAAGACAAAACGGTTGCTCCCACAATCACTCAGTCTAGAAGTAAGGCTCTGGCTCTACCTAAAGTGGGGGAAGAGAGTGAGGAAAGGGTCCCGCGGAAGCTGAATCTCAGACCAACTAGACGGATCTGAGATGGGAGGGAACGGGGACACAGACCCGGAGTAGGGACACCCAGGGGTCATCTCCATCATCCTGGCTGTGCCTCTACTCCTTCACTCCCCCACCTGTCTCAGCTGTCAAAGCTCAGCGGCCTGGAGGGGAGACGGGGCGGGGCTTAGGGGCGAAGGCGGAGCCTCGGAGAGCATCTTCTGGCCCCCGGGGCCCGGACAGGCCCGCCGCCCCCACCTGCAGCGAGCGCGGGCGCGTCCCTCCCAGCGGAAGCGCCAGCCCCGCGTCTGGCGAGGTGCGCGCTCCGCGGCTCCCGCTCCAGAGCTTCGTGGCTCGCCTGTGTCTGCAGAGCAGGGGCGGGGGCCCGGCGGCACGGACTGGGGACTGAGATCCTAGTAACCGCGGAATCGTAGACAGTCACCCAGCTCCGACAGCGCGTCGGGACCGGAGCAGATCGGGAAGGTGAAGGACTACTGCGGATCCGACAGCGCGTCCCAGGTCAGTCCTCCCGCTGCACTTGGGGAAACTTTGGGATGCGGTGACGGCTGCGAGACGAGGACACTGAGGGTCGCGGAGCTACATGGCCCCTGTGCGCCCCGCGAGCCGGTACCTGCCGCGCACCTGACACCGCAGCTGCCGGGGCGGGGACCGAGACCCTGCTACCTCGGACCACTGCGGGCCACCAAGGGCTAGCGGCTTCAAGGGCCTCTCGGGAGCCTCCGGCTCGCCCGCGCTTAGCCGCGCGCCTCCGGTCCTCGCCGGTCCCCAGCTCCTGTTGGCGGCTCGCGCCCGGACCCCGCGGGGCTGCGGATTCCGCCGTCTTCGGGCCTCGTGGCGCTGGAGGAGCGGCCCGGGGCCCAGGGCTGCAGGGTGGCGGCCCGCGGCGGGAGCGGCGCGTGCTCGGCCGGTGGAGCGCGCGGGTCGCGGGGGTCCGGCTGGAGCGCGTGGCCGCAGGTGCCTGTGGCCGCTGGGCAGCGGAGGTGAGGAGCGCGGGCTGGGGACGCGAAGCGGATTGCAACCTCTGGCTGCAGAAACCGGGGTCGCTGGGTGAGCAGTCCGGTCCCCGTGCACATCCCTGGCATCCAGACTCCATCAGTGGGAGGCCGGCTGCAGAGCGGCGCCTGCCGGGGCCAAGGACCAGTGCCGCCTGCTCTGACACGCCATCTCCCCAGCGAGGGCGGGGTGCTAGGCTGGCGGGCTGCGCGGGGACCACTGGCCAGGGCCTTCTGGCACAAGCCCTTGTCGTGGACAGCTGCCTGCTCTGGTTTGGAGTGGAGGAGACGAAATGAGCACCCCGCCCCCATCAGCGCCCCAACACTATCACCCCAGTCACCTTCCTTTGCCCTTCTCCAATAGCACCTTGGACTTGCTCCCTCCCGAACTGAGGAAAATCTGAGGAAACCGGGCAGGGACCTTGGAGAAGCCGCCGCCTGAATACTCAACAGCCTGGAAATCCAGTCACCTTTGTACCTCGCTGCTTCCCAGACACTTTGGAGGAGCAGGTTTGCCATTTCTACCCCCAAGCCTATCCCATCCCCCGTCTGTCTCTGCTGAGGAAGGGAGTCTTACGAGACAAGTTGGGATATAGGTACCCCTTAACATAGCCCCAGAGCCTGTGGGACAGCTCATAGGTAACTAGAAGGCATCCTAACTCTAGCTTTGTGAGGGAAACTAACTCCTTCCCTTGGGCAGTTTCTGAATATTTCTTAGAAGACTGGAGACCCAGGGAAGCCGGCTTTTCCTGGCTAGTCATGGCACCCTTTGCTTGGCTCTGACTCTCTCCTTCCTAGGAAGAGACACATTGTGCTTATGACCTCTGGCTGGCCTCGCGCCAATCGCTGCTTGGCCTTGGACTGCCCATCAGGACTGTGATTTTTTTTTTCTTTTTTAAAGACCTGATTAGGAAAGGCTGCAAGCCTCCTGTCCTAGAGGGCTCAAACTCTGAGACCTGTGGGCTCCCTAATCCCACTGTGGCAGCCCTCTGCCTTGGCTCCCACAAGAAAATCGCTTGTCAGACCTCTTGGGGGAAGATGATGGAGGCTTGCATGTGTGAGCACATGAAGGATTTGGAAGCCACCAGGCTACAGCCAGGGGTGAGGAATCTTTTTAAAAGGCTCACCTGATTCTGGGACTAAGAAAAGATGGAGACGCCACTGTTGTATGAAACGTGGCCTCTCCTGGTCCAGTCCCACTCAGCTCAGGGAACTACATATGCAGGACCTGTATTGGGTGGTGCATATTTGAAAGCTAGTACTTACTGAATTTCTAAGCAGTAAATGCATTCCGAATTTTAAACTCCTCACCATCATCTACTGCAATGTAGATATTGAACCCCCAACATAGGAACGATACCCCCAAAATTGTTAACTTTGAGAGAGCCCAGGTTCCCTGCCCCCTCTTCCCCATCAGGACAGGAACTAGGACAATGGATGGAACCATTTGAGCTTTAGAGTCATATGCCCACTTTACAGCTCCATAGTTAGGCAACTATTTTCTAAGAGGGGCACAAAGGAAAATCACTGCCCTGTCCAAATGAATAGAAAGCTGTGGATGGAGGCCAGACAAAGGCAACAGGAAGAATCATCTCCAAGATGGCTTTCCAAGCGTGTCAGTCATGTTCCACTGCCATGCTGGGTACCACACAAGTCAGGTATCCCAACCTGGGCGCTGCCTTGGGATACCTAAAAGGCAGGGAGATATTGAGATAAAGTACACAGAAGCAAGTATTTAACTCCAGGCTGGCAGATAATAGGAATGACCTTGGGAGGGTGCGCTCACCTTTCCTTCTCTCTTGAACAAAAACGTGGACTGGACCAGATGAGCACCAAGGCTCCCCCAACTCTAGCAGACCTTGTGTGGTGGGCTTGCCTGCAAACAGACTTGAGCTAGGTTGCTGTGCGTGGGATCCATTCCAGACTCATTTACAAACTCGTAGTCAGTGAAATGTGATAAACCGAACACTGTAGGGATTTCTAAACAAGGAATTAAAAAACTCGACTCCAAATGGGAGAGATGCAGGCAACAAATGACAGTGTTTATGTGCCTCTGAATAGCTTTGATTTCCTTCGGCAGGAGCTGACAGCTGGCTGACGGAAAGCTCACCCAGGGAGAGAAGAGAGACAAGTATGAGATTAGGAATAATGCTTTCAGGTAACTTTCTATTTCCATTCGGAGTGGGTGTCTGGGAGGGTGAGTGCAGTTATGGTTTGAATTGCTCCATTTATCCACAGATATTTTTTCCAAGGGCTCCTGATTCTAAGATGCCGGGCTTTGCTTCTGTCTTCTAGCTTCCTGGTAGCAGGGTAGAGAGCTGGGGTCCCAGCATTCAGCCTGCATGCTCTCCCTCTCTCCTAGCAATCTGCTGCCTCCATTATTTGTGGTCTTTCTGATCGATTTGGTCAGAGAGTCCATCTTTGGTTTCTTGCCCTGGAGACTGCTTGTTGCTGCTTGAGGTGGGGGCAGCATCTGGAAGTCTAGGTGCTCTGATCACAAGCTTTCAGACCACCATTTGTGTTTCATCCTTTGCCTTATCGCCACTTTGTGTGGTCCTGGGACTTCTGGGACTGTAGTTCTAGGGTCATACATACCCATGCTCTTCACATGACAGCACCCACCACCCTGCCAGTTCCTTCTCTTTGCAGAGTTAATTTTAAACTTTTCTCTTGATAATACCTTTCCTCTATTGTCTTTATTCTTGGGAGTATATGCCTCATAGCCTTTAAAAAAGAAGGTAAATAATTTTTGAGTGGATGCTTACCAGCAGAGAAATGTAGAGAAAGAATGTGCCAAGTCTGCAGTGATACATTCTAACTAAAGACGTCCAGTTTTAACAGGGAGTTGGGCTGGAGCCATAGCTCAACAGTTAAGAGCACTTCCAAAGGACACAGATTCCATTCCCAGAAGCCACATAGCCCCTTACAACCGCCCATAACTCTAGTTCCAGGGCACTTGATGCCCTTTCCTGGCATCTGAGACAAACAGCATAGACATACACGCAGGTGAACATTCATACACATAAAATGAAAATTAAAAAAGAAATGAAATAGAGAAGGGGTTTACATAGCTATTTAACAAATTAAGACCTAATAATGTAGGGACCCATAAAGAAAATCTAGTAAGTTCTTACTGGATTCCACTCAATCAGACCAAACATTACTGACAGAGTAAAAAGTCATTTCCAATAGTCCAAGGACAACTTTGTTTCATTTCTCAGGTATTGTCTATTGTCTGTTTTGTGGCATGTGTGCATGGTATTTGTGTGTGTGCATACAGGTGCATGTTGCTTCTGTATGAGCACGTGCAGGTGTACAGGAGCATGTGTACATGTGTGTGTGTGTGTGTGTTCATGGTGTGTAGACAGAGTTTCTGACCCACCTGGTCCCACAGTTGTTTAGCCCCAAATAAACACACAGAGGCTTATATTAATTAGAAACTATTTGGCCTATGGCTTAGGCTTCTTACTGGCTAGCTCTGTCTTAATTATTAGCCCATAACTACTAATCTATGTATTTCTACATGGCCTTATCTTACTGGAGAACACCCAGTGTCCTATATTCCCAGCAACTACATGGCATCTCCTCTCTGAGTCTTCTCCCCAGAATTCCCCTTGTCTGGTATCCCTGCTTATACTTTCTGCCTGACTACTGGCCAATCAATTTTTTATTCATCAACCAACAAGAGAAGCATATATGCAGAAGGACATTCCATCAATAGTGTGTGTGTGTGTGTGTGCGCGCATACATGGGTTCACACTGCTTGTGTGTGAGCACATGTAGGTGTGTGGGTGCTTGTGCACCTGTGTGTGTGCATGGTGGCCAGAGTTGACGTTAGATGTCTTCCTTGACCGCTCTCCACTATTTTGAAATTGAAGCTCTCACTGAACTTAGAGCTCACTGATTAAGCTAGTCTAGCTACCCAGTTCTCTCTGGAGGTCCCTGTCTTCACTTCCCATGTGCTGAAATTACTGGCTGGCCACTGTGTCTGCTCTACATTTATGTGGGTGCTGGGGATCTGAGCTCTGGTCCTCATGCTTGCATGGCAAGTACTTTATGGACTCAAGACATCTTCCTAGTCTTTACCATTTTTTTAAAAAAGAGTTCTTTTGCTAACTGGGAACTCAACACCAGGTAGGCTAGCCTACTGGTCAGTGAGGCCCAGGGATCTACCTATTTCTGCTTCTCTTCCCAAGAGATGGGACTACAGACATGTACCACAGTGTCCATATTTCTTTTAGCATGAGTTTTGGAAGTCAAACTCAGGTCTTCACGCTCACAAAGTAAGTGCTTCATCTACCAAGCCATCTTCCCATCTCTGTCATTTTAAAAGGCTTTGAATATGGGATGTGATAAAAAGAGGTTAAATTCTGAGATAAATTTCTTGAAAAGAAGAATGAATCAAGTAGAAGGCAAAATAGGAGAGCCTCCTCCTAGTGCTGTCCTTCCGTTCCGTGTCCACACGGCATCAGCATTGTGGTTCTCATTGTAACTAGTCTTCCTCTGTCTTGCCAGCTTGCTCCCAAATAATGATGCAGAGAGACTTCTTATTAATGATTAAAGGTCTGCCTTAGCTCAGGCTTGGTCAGATGATCTTCTAAAAAGGTTGAAGTTTCAATAGTCACAGAATGGCCCCACTATTAAAATGTGAGTGAACTCAGAAGTCATTGTAGCATATACCTACGGTGAAGACACTCAGGACACTATGGCAGAAAGATTGCGGGAGCCCAGGAATTCAGGCTGCCCTGAACAGCCTAGCTGGGGAACTAGCTCAATCAGTTAAGTATTTGCCATGTAAACTTGAGGACCGAGTTTGGTCTTCAGCATTCACAGAAATGGTGCACACCTGTAATTTTAGCACTGGGGAAGCAGACAGCCAGATCCAAGGGCTGCCTAGCCAGCCAAACAGCCTTATCAGAGACCCATGGGTCCTGGTGAGAGATCTTATGTCAAATAACAAGTTCCTGAAGGACACTGAAGATTGACTTCTGGCTAAACACAGGCATGCCCCACCGCCAGTGAGCATGTGCCTACATCCAATGATGTAAAGATGGAATTCATTCCAGTGAAAAGTAAGCCTCCTGGACTCCTCTTTGCTAGATAATTCTCCAGGCCTCAGGAGAGGAGGTTTGCCATTATCTACATGGCATGGTACTCAACTTCCCTGTAGTTCACAACATCCCTATTTCTGTAGGATGGAAAAGAGGCCACTGCCCCTCCCAGACATCTCCGTCTCCAGTTTGTTACCAGTTCCCTCTCCTGTAAGTGCTTAGGGTTAGTGTTGTAGAGAAGGACTTTACATGAGTGTGTGTGTGTGTGTGTGTGAGAGAGAGAGAGAGAGAGAGAGAGAGAGAGAGAGAGAGAGAGAGACCTAAAGGCTTTCCACGTTTCCACACTAAAAGGTTCTTAAGACTGAGAACAACCAGATAAGAGTCCAAATTCTAGAAGTCATGGAAAAGTGTAATATTGAAAGTCAGAGCAAGGCATGGTGGTGCACACCTTGAATCCCAGCACTCGAGACAGAGGCGGCCAGATCTCTGTGAATTCAAGGCCCAGCCTGGTCTACAGACTGTACATAGTGAGTTCTAGGACAGCCAGAACTACATAGTGAAATCTTGTTTGGAAAAAAATAAAGTCAGTACATGGTAACTTGTTCTTACTTCAGTGTCTGTTTCTTAAGCACGACTTTGGCTTTAGGATTTTCCTAAACTTGTTTTTGTGTGTGTGTGATTGCCACTGTATCATTACTTTGTGCGAAGTTACTAAGTGGTTTCTGTATTTGATATTATGTTCCAACACCTCCTAGTTCTTGGCATATTAAACCCATTTGTGTATGAAAAGTGCAAAGAAGTGGGTTTTTTTTTTTGGTGTTCTCACGTGACCTTTCAAACATTTGCTTCCAGAATAGACCTGCAAGTTGGGACCCACACTGCCATCTGAAGTCCTGCACCCCAAGTTTCAGGTATGTTTTGCTGGCAGGATAGCTTTTCTAGACTGTGGCAATAGGGGCATAAAACTGCAAAGCATTCGCTTTCCTACAGTTATGCACCCGCTCTCTGAGTGATCGGCTGCGCACCATGAGTGATATCAAAATGGAGTCAGTTCAGTTTGGAGAGCTGCCTTTTATGAGCTTATTCATGGCAATGCCAATGGAACTTTCGGCAACACATGCTGTTAGTCATGCCAGGGGAAGTGAACAGTGTTGTGCAAGGGAGGCCTCATATGACCTACCTCTGCATATGCTGACCTTTTCTGTGTACAGGCTCCTATGATACTGAGAGTGGTACTGTATGGAGGAGTGTGTGAAAATGCACTGTTTACAGACCAGACAGATTCCTCCAAATACAACGCCCAAGCGGAGAAATGGAGCATCGCCGGCACTTCAGAGGCCTGGGTCCCCCTTCCAGATCACACAGTTTTCCCTCCTCCACCAATAGCCACTTGCCCTTTGGATGCTACTCATAGTTTTCAGCTTTACTTTCATTGTTGTCCCACTGATGCTAAGAAAAACAGCTTCAACTAGTTAGGAAGCACAGCGCTAGATGAATTAAGAGTGATATCAACTGTACGTGGTGAGTCTCAGAAGGCTAGCTGCCTCAGGATTCATGAGCACTTGCAGGAACCCTTTAGGCAGGCTCAGGAATGAGGCTTAGGATCCACGCGGCTCATAGTCTCCAGCCTAGACAGCACAGTGATTGAGTGCCTGAAGGGAGTGGGCTTCTTCAGCCTCCCCTCCCCATCCCCAGTCCCGCCAGGTCTTAGCCCCAGGACATCAGAGCTGAGTGAAGAACAGAGCTAAAAGGAGCATCATTGGAGTCCTAGAAGCAGGACAGGAGGGGACATAGAAGCATCAGGACACAGCGCACAGAGACAAGAACTGAAGCCAGACTGCTGTGTGCTTTGGGCCTCAGTTGACAGAAGGAACATGTTAGGGTGACCGCATGGAGAACGTCTATGCACATATATCAAACTGGCAGGTCCCCCCAGCATTTTCTGGGGGCTTGGGGACCTCTTTTCCATGATCTTCAGCCTCTGTATCCTATGTGAACTGTTTTTCTTGTTTACTGTTTCATCTTGGTAGAGTCTATCCTTCTGTTAATTCTTGAGAGTATGTTCCAATTCTTGCCTGGAGGTTTGGCTAAATATAGAATTCTAAGCAGAGGGTCATTTCTCCTTCAGATATTTAAAGACACTTCTGCACTGTGCCGCACTGCTATTGTTGATGTACCTGAACCTAAATTCATGCTTGATACCTTGGTGTGTGACTTATCGCCACAGCCAAGGGCCCCTTCCCCTCCAGTCTGTGCTCTGGAAGTCTGCAGGCACGTGGTATGGGTGTGCACTGTTTCATTCATAATGCAATGCTCCGATAGGCCCTTTGATTTGATAATTCTATCCCTGTCCCCCACTCCCATTGATTACTTCTTTTGTTCCCCTTTTGATATAGTTTCCTTGCTGATGCTGTGCTAAAATACTCCTCCTGGGGAGGAGAGGCTTTGCTTGGATTACAATTCCAGCTCACAGTCATCCAGGGAAGTCAGGGCAGGGTCTCAAGGCAGGGAGCATCGAGGAATTGCCTGCTGGCTTCCTCACAGGTTCTTGTAGGCTAGCTTTCTGATCCGTCTCAGGACCACGTGCTTAGCAATAGTGTGGTCCACAGCAGGCTGGAACCTTCTGCATCAGTTACTAATCAAGACATTTGCCCAGAGACAGGCCCACAGGCTGGATCTATCTATATAGGCAGTTCTTAAGCCTTTTTTGTCAAGCGACTCTAGACGGTCAAGCTGACGGTTGATGCTAACTAGGACACTATTCTACCACTTTTTCTTGGTAGAAATATTATTTGGATATTGGAGTTCTTGGACTAGTTTTTCTGGTTCTCTGTTTCTTTCTTTTCCTGTAATTTATATTTGTTTTGTGAGACAGGGTTTCTCTGTGAGGTTGTCCTAGAACTTCTGGCCCTCCTGCTTCTACTTCCTAAGTGCTGGGATTATAGGCAGGTGCCATGAGCCCAGCTTTCTTCTTTTCTTTTCTCTGCACTGTGTTTGAGAGTCTCATCAATGCCACCACTCACATTTTCTGTTGCCTTGTTTTTCTTTTTAAATGTACATTGGTGTTTTGCCTGCATGTATGTCTGTGTGAGGGTGACAGATCTTGGAACTACAGTTCCAAATAATATTTCTACCAAGAAAGAGTGGTACTTGTATCCTAGTTGGCACCAACTGTCAGCTTGACAGCCTTGAGTCACCTGAGAAGAAAGACTTGATTTAGGAGCTACCATGTGGTTGTTGTGAATTGAACCAGGACCTCTGGAAGAGCAGTCTGTGCTCTTAACTGCTGAGCCCTCTCTCCAGATTCCTCCTATTGACTTTTGCAGGCTTCTTTCATGTTCTTTTGTGATTCCGTCGTCTCTGACTGTTCTTCACAGACTCTTACCTCATGCTTATGATGTCTCTTACTCCGTCAAGGGTACTGAGTTTTTGAAGTTTTAATTCTCCTGACTACTGTCTTTCCCCTCCAGTTTGTCATTCTCTGTTTGCCCTGGCCTCTGTCTTTCATGCAGGAAGACCTTCCATTTGCTTTCAGGTTTTTATTTTAACTATTGGCTCATGACTGAAGGGCTATATGAAAAGACCAGTGAGAAGACTGGAGCATTTGGGTGATACTTGTTAACTGGGAGCCTCGCCGCGGACGCTCCCGTGGCATGCGAAATCCTGTGGTATTTGCTCAGGCAAGTGCGGCTGTTAAATGCAGACCTGAACAGCTTCCTCCCGAGGGGTCAGGTGTCTTTCTGCAGTTGGTCAGGAGGGTGGGGTAGACTTCAGCTCTTTTCAGACAGTGGCCATTAGACAACCACTTGTCTTCAGTCCAAAGACCCCGTGCTTTACCGTTTTTTCAGAGCACAGACCTCTGGATGGCCCCGGGTAGAAGCAGGGCACCTGGGTGCTCCGGAGGAGTTGGAGGAACTACCCCCTGTCCACATTCCCCAGGTTTCCACATGCCAGCGTCCCTCAGGGATCCCATTGAAGGTGGGGCTGACATGATGGCGGGGGTTGGAGTTCCAGACTCAGAGTGTGTGGTAGGAATGAATGCTGCTGTCTGGGGAGGACGCACCTGAGCAGTGGAGGCTTTGCCTGTTCCTTGACACCGTCTGACCTGCCCCTCCTTATCTGGGAACCCCAGCTCTAAAGCTCCCTGCTTTACGGACTCTGTGTTTGGGGTAAGTTCTTAGCTTTCTCAGGCTAGGTCCTCAGTTCTTAGCCTTCTACGGTGCTGTTGTTTGCCCTCTGGCTTTGTGTTTGTCTTTTGAAAAACTAGCTAGTTTGGGCAGGTTGCGGGAGGGAGTCAAATGGGTTGTACGCATCTTGCCATGTAAGTCCTAACCCAAGCCAGGCACTGTGGTACTTCCTGAGTTTGGCTCTGCCCCCATAGGCAGAGTCTGTCATCACAGATAATTGCAGTTGGAGCTTGAGCAGCTCCCTTCCTTGTCTGCCTGCAAAAGTCTCTTCATAAAGAAGTTAATGTTAATTTTTTATTGTGTGTGTGATACCTGAGTAGACACATGCTATGATGCGTATGTGCAGGCTGGAGGACAACTTTCTGGAGTCGGTTCTCTCTTTCTCCCTTCATGTAGGTTCTGGGGATTGAACCCAGGTCATCAAGCTTGCACAGCAAGCACCTTTACCTACTAAGCCTTCTCATCGGTCCTTTATTTTATTGATTGGTTGATTGATTGATTGATTGATTCAGGGGCAGAGCCTAGGGTCTTTCATATACTAAGCAAATGTTCTACCACTGAATTGCACTCCTAGCCCAACCTGCTAAATTCTTGCACAGACTTCAAAAAGAAGCTCTGGTACTGGCTTCTGCAAAGCCAATTTTTATGCCTAAGTTCTTAAAGCTCTTTAAACCTTGTGAGTCTTGCTGTGACCAGCTCTGTGCATGGTCTCCATGAGCTCCTCGGGATGGGCTGGTATCTCTGCAGCTCTGTCCTGCGCCTACCAGGAACTTACAGGTGTCGCCAATGAATTCATTTCTGTGCATGCTCACTTTATTTTGTCCCCCTTCACTTTCTGCTGTCACTCCTTCTGGTAAGAGACAAGCGTGTTAACTACCTGTGCTATCATCAGACAGAAATTCATGTCCCATAATCTTAGTCCTTCTTATTTACTTATTTTGAGACAGGGTCACACTCTGTAGCTCCCACACTGGCCTTAAACATATTATGTAGACCAGGCTGACCTCGAACTCATGGTGATCCTCCTGCCTAAACTTCTCAAATACTGGGATTACAAGAGTGACCCACCATGCTGGGAGCCATAATCTTAAATTTAAAAGTAAGGGACCAGTCAGTTTACTGTGCTAGGTTGGCATTATGTAGAAATGAACAGCCATATTGGTCTGGAAATGTTCCTAGTTTTCTTTGTACAAGGATAATGCACTGTGTGAAACAAGGAGAGTCGTATCTATGTGGGTTTGACTACAGCAATTAATAAAATATGCTCTAAATAATGAAAAAAGCCAGTGACTAGTAGTGTAACACAAAAGATAAAAGACCCAGAGACTGATATTGGGGTTCAAACTTCAAGCTGAATGTCAGAAAAGCAAAGCAGCCGGTCACTGGCTTCCTACCTCTACCTCATGCTGAATGTGCTGGTCCTGTCTCCATGAGCTCTCACCAAGTCTCAGACTGTAACCTCTCCTCAGCGTGGCTGGAGAATGAATGCTTCATACTGACTACTGTCTTTTATGCTTCTCTAGTGCTGAAATTAGAGGTGTGAGCTATAATTCTCTTTTAGAATGATTCACTCTTGTATAGATCTGGGTTACCTTGGACCCACAGAGATCTGTCTATCACTTTATCCTGAATCCTAGGATTAAAGGTGTGTACCACCACCTCCTAGCTCTGTGGTTGCTGGGATTAAAGGTGTGTATCACCACTGCCTGATCTCTATAGCTTGAGGCTGACTTTGCTTTTCTGGATCCTCAGTAAAGCTTTAATACATTATAAATAATATATCACTATACTAGTAGAAACAATATTTTTCAAAATTTATTCAGAGTATATCTATATGTTATACATATCGTATTTATAGTACAATCTGATCTTTGTCATATACTATAAGCACAATTGAAAGACAAATTTTCTCTTAGCTCAATATTAAGTCATAATTATTATCCCTGTAATGAAGCTACATATTGAGGGAGTCAGAATCTGAGATAGTTAAATAAATTAAACATGTATTTTTAGAGTCAATGGTAAAAATTAAATGTTCATAAAGCCTGCGTGACTCCTTTTAAAGTTTTTAAAAATTTTTATTATTTTTATTTTATGTGTATACTTATATGCATGTTTTGCCTTCTTGTATGTCTGGTGCCTGAGGAGGCCAGAAGAAGGTATCAGATCCCCTGAAACTGGTATTACAGTTTTGAGCAACTATGTGGCTGTTGGGAATTGAACCTGGATGCCCTGAAAGAACAGTCAGTGCTCTTAATGACTGGTCCATCTCTCCATTTTCTTGCATTTACTCTAAGATTTGCTTTTATTTAGGTGTATGTGCATGAGTGTGGTGTATGCATTGGGGTGAGGAGGTGCAGGGACCCACATGCTTGGACTAGCACAGTCACAAAAGACTCGAGGAGGGTCCCTACTATTGCTTTCTGTCTTCTACCCTTGAGACAGGCTCTGTCACCGAACCTGAAACTCACCTTTGCAGCCAGGCTCCTGGTCAGAGAGATCCTGCGATCTCTTTCTCCCTGACCCTAATGCTTGAGTTACAGGCCCATGTGGCCATGCCTGGCTTTTTACTGGGGTTCTAGAGAGTCAAATCCAAATCCTCAGGCTCGCATAGCCAGCGATTTTACCCGCTGAGCCATTTCTCTGGCCCCCAAGTCATAATTCTGCTCTGCTTCCAGTAATAACATAATCCCATCTATGTGCCCTACACACATATTTCAGAAATAGACAAAAATGAATACAAGTTGGACATCGAGTCTGATTGATCTTCAACTTCTTTGATAACCAGGCATTGATTTCTGACTTTTGAAGATGGATGAAGGCACAGAAGTCTCCACTGATGGCAATTCCCTGATCAAAGCCGTCCATCAGAGCCGGCTTCGCCTCACAAGACTTTTGCTCGAAGGTGGTGCCTACATCAACGAGAGCAATGACCGTGGAGAAACACCTTTAATGATTGCTTGTAAGACCAAGCACATCGACCAGCAGAGCGTCGGTAGAGCCAAGATGGTTAAATACCTTCTAGAAAATAGTGCTGACCCCAACATCCAGGACAAATCCGGGAAAAGCGCTCTGATGCACGCATGCTTGGAAAGAGCGGGCCCGGAAGTGGTTTCCTTGCTGCTCAAGAGTGGGGCGGACCTGAGCTTGCAAGACCATTCCGGCTACTCAGCTCTGGTTTATGCTATAAATGCAGAAGACAGAGATACCCTCAAAGTTCTCCTTAGCGCTTGCCAGGCAAAAGGAAAAGAGGTCATTATCATAACCACAGCAAAGTCACCTTCTGGGAGGCACACCACCCAGCAGTACCTCAACATGCCTCCCGCAGACATGGATGAGAGCCATCCGCCGGCCACGCCTTCAGAAATTGACATCAAGACAGCCGCGTTACCACTCTCCTGTTCTTCAGAGACGGACCTGACACTTTTTGGCTTTAAAGATAAGGTGTTTCCTGGAAGCAGTGACAATACCTGGGACCCAGACTCTCCTCGGCAGAAGGCTCTGATGACCACCAACGGGCCCAAGTTATCCCAGGTTGGTTCGGCCTGGATCAAGAGTCCCCCATCATTAAAGCACCAGGCCAGAGTGGCCTCCTTGCAAGAGGAGCTCCAGGATATCACTCCAGAGGAAGAAATAGCCTACAAAACCACCGCGCTGGCACTGTCTAAGCGCTTCATCACCAGACACCAGAGCATTGATGTAAAAGACACGGCACATTTGCTCAGGGCCTTCGACCAGGCCAATTCCAGGAAGATGTCGTATGATGAAATAAATTACCATCCTTTGTTTCCAGAAGGAAACCAGCCATGCATGGAAATTCCCAATGACCAGGACCCAGACTCTAACCAGACCCTATTTGCCTCCACTTTAAAAAGTATAGTGCAAAAGCGAAACTCAGGGGCCAATCACTATAGCTCCGATTCTCAGCTCTCAGAGGGTGTTACCCCTCCAAACTTAGAAGACGGGAAAGTCGGAAAGAAAAAGATCTTCTCTCCATCTCCTTCCTTGCTAACGGGATCCAAAGAAATAATGGAGACTGTCCCTCCGAGCGCCCTGAGCAGGAGGAACCACGCGGTTTTAGAAAGGCGGGGCTCTGGGGCTTTCCCCATTGAGCACAGCCTCATGCAGAGCAGACCCGGGTTTCTGCCACCCTTAAATGTAAATCCTCACCCTCCCATCACAGACGTCGGTGTCAACAACAAGATCTGCAGCCTGCTTTCTTGTGGCCAAAAAGTGCTTATGCCAACGGTTCCTGGTTTCCCGAAGGAATTCAAAAGCAAAAAGATGTTGTTGAGGAGGCAGTCACTGCAGACAGAACAAATTAAGCAATTAGTAAATTTTTAAGAGACGCCTGGAAAACACATCGTGTTCAGACGTCTGGATCAGAGAAACATAGACTTAGAGAAGAAATCTTAACTGTATCCTTTTAAGTCTTAGCTAGTACATCACAGCTAGGCAAATCAAAACATAGAGCATTTTGTATTAGGTACCGTGAGCACACCATAGTATAGAGCTTCTGAGGAAATTCTACCAAAGTGAAAGATGTTGTTCTCAAAACCTCCAGTATTTATCAACTTCCATGTGGTCCAAGGGTTCCATCTAAACAAAACCCTCCAAGAGAAAGTTGCCTATGCTAGAAACCATTTTTAAAATTTCAGATTGGCTTCACATTCTACTAAGAAACAATGTTCTCAAGTTAGTAATTTTGTCAACACTTTAGTCAACAAGATTGTAATTTTCCATGATGCCAAAAATTGTCAAAGAAAACCCTGGCATCAGTCAAGCTAAACTACAAAGGAAGGGTAAGCAGATTAGCTAAAAATGTTGACTCAGGCAGGTAAAAGTCTCATTCAAAAACTGTAAACGTGAAAAACCAGTCAGAATGAGCAACCACGGTTCATACTGACTGCTAAGTCTGCATCAAAATGGCGGGCGAGGGGGCTGAGGGGGCTGAGGGGGCTGAAGGAGCTTACTGACCGTGCAAGGCTGATGACCTGAATCCACATAACAACTAGGCCCAATAGTGCCAGGTTCTGTAATCCCAGTATTCTCTGTGGGGAGATGAGGGGCAGAGCCAGGAGAATCCCCAGAAGCTCATGGCTCAGATAGTCTGACTAACGCTGAGGTGAAGAGACCCCGACTCAGACAAAGGGGCAAGGGATGACTGACACCGGAAAGCTACCCTCTGACAGCCACACAACCCTCCCCCCAACTGGCAAGGCAGGGCAGCACACCACATGCCAAATTCTGTTGTTTTTGCACTGTGTATCCCTTTCAAATGAACTTACCAATCATGTTACCTTACGGAATTTTTTCTCATGCCATTTTTTTCGTATCTTATACCAAGATGATATAAAAATTAAAAAGTATTCACTTTGACTTACATTAATCCTGTCTTCCTAAAAGAGACACCCAAAACAGGGTGGGGGCAGGATGCAAAAAGTTTGGGATTGAACATAAATGGAAATTAAACGCTTGCTTCATTAAAAAAAGAAAAACTGATTAATAGATTAGTTTAGTTTAGTTAAAATTACAAAATCCAAGTAGAAACTTAACCATAAAATGTATTACTGGGTCATTACTAAGCAGTATCTTTATTTCTGAGATGTAGTTATTAGACAGTCATATAAAGATATATAAAGATAATGTCCTCGGTGTGACATTTGGATCATCTAGTACTTTAGGGTCTATGAATAACTTTTAACAAATACACACTATAATAAGATAGTTAAAAATGACAGTATTACCTACATGACTTCCAAGTATGGTATTCAAAGAATCCTTCACTTGTAGCAGTTCTGAAGCAAAGACTAACAGAAACTAGAACCCCCATGGCTGTGGAGCTAATGACATCATCTACAGCTTTATTTCTTTGCCCAACAGGTGGCACGATGCCTTTCTTGGTAATTTGATATGAGCAATTTGAAATGTACATAGAAATTATGTAATTATCTGTGGCTTTTATTTTAAAAACTAATTGCAGGTTTTTTCCATTTAATGTTTTGAAGAAAAAATTAGTTACATTAGAAAATACTTTTTATTCAGAAACTAAAATTGTACTGATGTTTATAAGTAGCTGAATTCCTTTCGCAAGTTTTAATATCACAAAAAGTACTTGACCTCACATTGTAAGGACACAGTTTGGAAGAATATGTATATAGAGTAATTCATTATCAAGATGCTATCAATAAAGATTTAAAATATCATTTTGACTAAGTTTTATTTTTCCCTCAAATACTAATAGTAAACATTTCAACATAATTTCAAGAGAAATTGTGCCACACATGTAACTTAAATAACAAAAGTTAAGAATAACTTGTCTTCCCAACATGAAAACTTAATTTAACATGATTAAAACTTTGTTGGCCATCATTAGAATTTTTTACCTTCTAGCAAGCCTAAAAACATTTTAAATTCTCAGGCTGTCAGAGTCTGGCTGTAAGTCATTCAGTGAGGCTTTTTACAGCACTAAATGGGTGTCACTGGGCACCCATGATGGGTCACCAATGTTTTCTACAGGAATCTGTGTGTGTGTGTGTGTGTGTGTGTTGTATGTGTGTACACATGTGTGTATGTGTGTGTTTATTCTATATTTTGCTTGAATTTCATGTAGAGTTTGATTTAGTTTTAACTTAAAGGTCAAATAATACTTCACATACTGGTTTTACAGGTACCATTCTTAATTCCTGGTGAGCAGAATTTCCTAGATTATAACTAATAAAGACCCAGGGAAATAGTCATTCACAGGGGCAGGGCAGCCCTCGTCACCATCTAAAGAAGGTAGTGACATCTGCATAGTGTATCCTTTGTGGCATCAAGTGACAGAACCCTTTACAAATCTCATCCTGTTCCCTAGTGATTCGATTGCTTAAAAGAGTGACTGTATCTTGTGGGTGATGACAAAGTGTCTAGGAACACCAGAGATAGAGTCAGTCAGCTGCAGCAGACTTGCCCAGCAGCCTCACCATGCACAGGTGAGTCAGTCAGTCATAAAGGACAAGGTGACATCACTTGCAGGAAAATGAATGGAAATAAATATTATCAGGTTAAGCAGGACATGCTGGACTTAGGTAAATATACATATCGTGACATGCAAAATCTAAATTTAAATATATATTTCAATATGGCTATGAAACATAAGTAGGAAAGGGTCTAGTTGTAAGGGGAACAAGAGAAGGTATTGGGGGGTTATATATGAACAAAATGTATGATATTATCTGCAGGAATATATTAAAATGAAACTAGAGGGATGGTTTGGTGAGGAAAGTACTTTCTGGGTAAGCATGGAGACAAAGAGTTTAACAAAGCTAAGCATGGCTATGAGCATGTGTAACTCCAGGGGGTAGAGTCGAGAGTCTGAGGCGGAGGGGGCGAGTTATGGCTAACCAACGCACAAGTTCAAGATGTAGTGAGAGACCTTGTCTCAAAAAATAAAATAGAGAACAATAAAGGAAGACACCCAAGGTTGACCTCTGGCCTACACACATACACACACACACACACACCTGTGCATACAGCAAATAGATGTTACAATTGTAAGGTATTTCCACCAAGGAACATACACACACTTGTAAAGGCAAACAGAAAGTCTGTATTGCCAGCTGGCAGCTGTGTGGGAAACTTGCCCAAATTATGTAGCCTCAAGCCACAGTTAGTGAGAAGTAAAACCACAGAAGCCAAAAGGCACGGTTGGTACATGGAGGGACTTTCCCTCAGACTAGGGACTACGTCTTTGATGGATTAGGTCTTTGTTCCTGGTTTGGCAGTTGTAGGGACTTATGTGCTGGGTTGTAAGGTCTGAATGGCGCCTCTAACATGGTACGTTGTCAGTTGTGCTAAGGTCTCGAGGCTTATTACATAAGGACACATTTTGTATAATGACTATGTGCTAATCAACTATTTAGAATAAAAGCAAATTTTAAGAGCATCTCTTACCAACTTTGCCCTTGCCGATGCAGCCCTGGGTGGTGATAACGGTGTTGCTTTATTGCCTACTTTTAAGAAATGGCAGTTTGGGGTTTTGTTTTGCTTTTTTCCTTGCCTTTTGTTTTGTTTTGAGACACGATTTCCCTGTATACCCCAGGCTGTTCTGGAACTAGTTCTGTAGATCAGGCTGGCCTCAGACTCAAGAGGTCTGTCTGCCTCTGTCCACCCCAAAGTGTTTTTCAAATTAGACTCTCCATTCCTACCCCCTTCCTATCTTCCTCTTCCCCCTTTTCTCCATCTCTCCATCCCCCTTCCCAACTCTCTGTGAGTCTCCCTACATTTCCAGGCTGACCTAGAACTTCTGGGCTCAAGGGATCTATGTGCCTCTGCCTACCAAGGAGCTGGGATTATGTGCAATACCTCTGTGCTTAACTCGAAACCTATTTTAATACAATGCTTAATCCAACTGGAAGCCATAATTCTTACTAGATTAATAATTGTGTTTATATAGCCTTGTCTAGTTCCAGTGTTCTCTAGATAATATTTACTTTGTTTTGTTGAGATAGAGTCTTACTGTATAGCTCAGGCTGCACGTCAACTGAATGCTGGAATTATAGGCATGTACCACCATACCTGGCTATTATTTATTCTTTGATAATTATGTGCATATACGCAATGTATCTTATCCACCCATAGCTGGTTCTTAGATCACAAGTCCATGTTCCTAGGAGGGTCAGAGCGTAGCAAATCTGTCACCTATGGTAGACTCACCAGCCCACCTCCCAAGTTGATACCTTGTCTCTGCAAACCTTCTCTTAAAGTCTACAATTAAAGGGGAGGAAACAAGAGGGAAGGCTAGGAGGAATGCACTGTGCATATCAGAAACTGCGAAGGACTCCAGTCTGCTGGGATGCAGGATCAAATCTGCAGTGAGAAGCTAAGTAGTCATGAGCACAGTGGGTTAAGTGACATGGGGTTACGATGACCAATGGCTGATGAGGGAGATGGATGGCCAATCACTGGCTTAGGATAGTCTGTGTAAGCTGGAGCTGCCAACAGAACTAGATCACAATGCTGGAAGATTAATCTGTGCCCACCACGGGTCCAGCAGTCCTTAATCAACTGTGAAAGATCTAATTCTGCGGGTGGCATTTAAGCCAGAGTGTACGCACAAGAAAAGCTGTGGTTTGAATTGAGAATGTCCCCATACCCTCCCGTTCTGAATACTGGCTCCCCAGGCTGGTGGCACTATTTTGTAAGACTGGAACCTTTCGGAGGTGGGGCGTGCAGGCAGAGAAGTCATCTGGGTGTGTTTTTGCAGGGTACAGTGTGACCCCTGGTTGGGAGCCACTTTCTGCACCCTGTCTGCTGGCGCATGCGTCCACGCCACGTATCCCACCATCATGGACTGAAATTGCTTCCTCCAAAACCATGACTCCAAACGAAGCTTTCTCTCCTTAAGTCGCTCTGTAGAGTTTTTTGTTTGTTTGTATGTTTGTTTGTTTGTTTGAGACAGGATTTCTCTGTGTAACAGCTCTAGCCATCCTGGAACTCACTCTGTAGACCAGACTGGCTTCGAACTCACAGAGATACACCTGCCTCTGCCTACCAAGTACTGGGACTAAAGGTGTGCACCATCAATGCCAGGAACTGTAGGTGTTTTTGTCACACTGACTCAGAATTAACCAATGCAAGAGGATGGAAAAGGTGATCAAGTCTGGAAAGTATTTAAAAGTGAGTAAAAGCGGTGTGCAGCTCAGAAAGACTCAACTGGGATTAGATGGCTGGCCTCAGTTACTGAAATGAATGATGAAACGACTGAGCCGAGTCTTTCAGATGAAGTCACACATGACGAGAAAATGAAGCTACTGGAATATTTCCACTAGGGATGTCACCCATAGAGAAGCTTGCATTAGAGAGACATAGGGTACCACTCCTGGAAACACCCAAAGATGGCTGCCGATCAGACATTCAACAAGAGCACCTCCCACTTAATGACCTTTGAAACTGCTTCATCCAGAAGGTTCTTTGAAATGTCTTTCCATGTTCAGAGTTCTAGACTAAGCAGGAAAATTGAAAATAGGTTTGGAATCTCAGTCGTGCACACGAAGTTTTGCATTGTTTTTGTGTTCAGCCAGTGTTGGTTATGAAGGCATGGCTTTTGATTGCCGAGTAAAACATTTGGATTCAAACCAATTTTCTCAAGCTGAAAACCACTTACTGGCTGACTTCTGCACCTGAGGGTCCTCACTGGTATCCAGAACTTGGAATAAAAGAAAGAAATCACTTCCAGGAGACACACGGAAGCTGCCCTCAGGCAGACGCTGAGGTAACAACACTCTGACTGGAGCAGACTTGGTCTTCCCTGCAGCAAGCAGGCATGGTGGAGCTGTTCTCAGAGGTGCCATGTCAGCTGAAAGGAAGAACACAGGGGCCTCACTGGGTCAAGCTCGTAAATCACCACAGGCAATAATAAAGTGACTGCAGGGGGCCACGAGGCTGTGTGATGGTGGGGATGGAGCCTCCAGCCTTTCACACACTGTGGTAGTTTGAATGAGAAATACCCCGCAGCCACAGTATCTGATCACTTCCTAGTGGGTGGTGCTGTTTGGGGGTGGTTAGATGATGTGGCCTTGCTGGTGAAAGTCTGTCACTCCAGGGAGCCTTGAGATTATACAGCCTTGCCATTGAAGATGTGAGCTCCCAGCTCTGGCTGCCTGCTACCCTGCCTCAGCACCACCGTGACAGACGCGTCCCTCCGGAACAGTAAGCCAAAATAAACTCTTCCTTACTCGTCTTTGCTCATGGTGCTTTATCACAGCAACGGACGCGTAACCGACACATGTTAGGTAAGTGCTCTGCCCTGAGCCCCTGAGTTCCTCTTCTTTCATAGTTACCCTTGAGCTGACAAAGAAGCAAGACTTTCACAGTCAAATACCTTCATTAAAAGTTTGGACTTGTTTATGTTCTTTCACTCCAAGAAAAGCAAGAGAGTGAACACCAGCATCAGCTCAGGCACCAGCTATGGCCGGCCTGGTGCTCGGGCGAGCCTAGGCACAGGAACAAGAGCAGCGGGCAAGATCCAGGAGGCTGGCCAGCCGCCCGCGTCCCCGCTCCCTCTCTGCTGTAACTGTGGACTGTGTGGGAAGTTTTATTGTCTAAGTTATGAAATAAATGCGTAGTAAAGTCAAAAGCTCTGTGGGGGTGGGAATGAGGTTGAGTCCTTAGAAAACAGGATTACTGAAAGAAAAGAATGTCTTTCTTGGAGTGGAAACTAGGTCCAGAGTTAGGTGGGTGGAAGTTTTCATTTTCCTTTCCAAATGGTTGAAGTAGAGTCAATGACCCTCTGAGAAATAAAGCCCCAGCGGGCGATTTTCCCGTTCTGCTCCCATCAGCCAGGTCGCCTGTCAGTCACCCTGCTTGTTTCTCGAATCCCCTTTCCCATCACCCCACTTTGGGTCTTCATCTTTCTTCTCTTTGAGAATCCCCAGTGTGGTTGGCTCTCTCCTGCCTTCCTAAAATTCCATACTGTCCACAACCATTCCCTGCTTAGAGTGGGAGTTGTGGTCCCAGGATTCCCACAATCCTCCCCTGCTTATAGTGGGGGTTATGGTCCCTAGAGTCCCACAATCCTCCCTTGCTTACAGTGGGGGTTATGGCCCTTAGAGTCCCACAATCCTTCCCTGCTTACAGTGGGGGTTATGGTCCCTAGAGTCCCACAATCCTCCTCTGCTTACAGTAGGGATATGGTCTGTGGAGGAGCCAAGCATCTCAGCAATATCTCAACTTCCTCTCTGCCATCCAGGACCCTCACCTCAACCAGGATGGAGTCCCAGCTGGGTCTTGAACATGGAGACCAGATGTCTGCTCCATTTCCTTCCCCACTGAGCCCCAGAAAACTTGATGGGCTTGTTCACAAAACCATGTGACGGGTCAGACTGTGGTCCCAGGCACAAAGCAGACGGGCAGGCAGAGGGAAGTACAGGCAAAGAGGAAGAGTAGTGTGGGTATGGCCGCTACAACCCTAGCCCGTACTCTGCAGGCCTCTCGACGTCAAGCCCCGACAAGATCTTCCTGGGCGGGCGAACACGGTCGATCTCGATTCTACAGAAAGGGCTTCGGCACCTTTGCGTCTTCTTTTAACTATTCTTGTCTTTGCCCATGAAATATGACTCCCAGTACTCCTCGATGGCAGGCTCACATCTAAAGGAGGTACAGCACCTTTCTGTGAATTCTCCAGATGCTAACTGATCACAGGGGGGTTAAAAACCCGAGAACTAAACTCCAAGCAAATCAACAAACTGTTCCAAATCACTCTTAATAATTTCTCACTGGGGAAGTCAACACACAACGCCTGACGAGCAGTTACACCACTCTCACAGGACCCAACGTAATTGCACATTTGAAAGGCTCTGAGTTTCGGAACAATCAGATCACTTACCAGTGTCTCTTCTAAGGTGGGATGGTTTTGTGAGTCACGGAGAGCAGAATTCAGATGCTAGGGGATGGTGACAACAGCAGTGCCTTAGGCTTGGGAACATGGAAGAGCCAAGTATTTTGTGCTTGAATTTTCCAAAATTCTCTGTGCATGTGAATACATAAGCTTTGCATATAAAACCATGCCATAATGCAGTTTTGCAAGCACCACATCTTTCCACATTAACAGAGACTGACTTTTCAGTGTCTGTTAGCATCCTATGGATTTCTGTACATCAAGGTCTGTGAAAATACTATCAAAGAGTGATATGTATAACTTACAACACAGTAAAATATACATCCCAGTAACTCCTTGCCATAGACCCCTTCCAAATACGCACGTTAACACAGCTACAGACACTTTCACCATTACCCCAAACTGCCCCACTTCCTAATCCCATGAGTAACCATTATGACCGCTGTTGCCATATGTTAGTTCTGAATGGCTGTGGTGGTTTGAAGGAATAATGGCCTCCCATAGGGAGTGGCACTATTAGGAGGTATGGTTTGGCTAGTGGAAGTATATCACTGTGGGTAGCGGGCTTTGAGGTCTCCTATGCTCAAGCTATGTTCAGTGTGGCATACGGTTCACACCCTGTTGCCTGCAGATCAAGATGTAGCACTCCGGGCTACCTCTGCCTGGATGCCGCTACGCTTCCCGCCATGATGACAATAGACTGGGCCTCTGATCTGTAAGCCAGCCCCAATCAAATGTCCTCCTTTGTAAGAGCTGCTGTGGTCATGGTGTCTCTACACAGCAATAGAACACTGACCTGGTACAAATGGACCCATTAGTATGCTCCCAGTGGCCCCCATCCCTTCTGCACTGTTTACTATCATCCTTACAGCACGAATTAAGTGGTTCAAATGGTTTTTAGTGCTGTGTAGCAGGTTCATCATATTTAGCAGTTCTCTTGCTGGTGGAAATGTGTTGTTTTTAATTAGGGCCTCAGAATATAGCTGCTATCAACATTCTATCACAAGTCTGTTCTGTGAGCACAGGAATGCCCCTGACGTCATGCTTATGCATACAATGGCTGGATCCTAGGGCAGAGATACTGTCTTTATTGGAAACTGTAGGAATGTTTCCTTCCCCTCTACAAGTTGTCAGTCCATCTAGTGCTGGCTGTTCCGTGATGATGTATGTACTATCTCACTGCAGCTTAAATTGCTGGGCGTATGGATAATTTATTTTGTGGAGTATCTGTTAAGTTTTTCTAATTTTTAATTCAAACCTTTGGCTTTTTACCAGTTTATAGGCAAACTTCACATAAAATGAGAGTCCTTTTTCAGATAAACCCCAGTGCCGTCTTTTTTTTAGTTAAGGATTTATTTTGCCTCAATGTGTCTGTGCACCACATGAGTGCAGTACTCAAGGAGACCAGAAGAGGGCATTGCATCCCGTAGATCTGGAGTTTCAAATGGTTGTAAGCCACCATGTGGGTGCTGGAAATTGAACTTCCAGTCCTGTGGAGAAGCTGTAGGGAAAAAGAACCAGCCAAAGAAACATACTCTTAGCAGAGCCAAAGAAACACACTTTGGCCCTGCAACCAGAACCAAAGAAATGCACCTTGACCCTGAAAACTCTAGTGCCAAAGAAACACACTTTGCCTTTGGAATCAGTCAGTGAAAGAAATACACCCTGGCCCTAAATCTAGAGCCAAAAGGCTAAAAAGGACCAGTGAAAGAAACACACTTTGACCCTAAAACCAGAGCCAAATCTGACCCTAACCTTGTGCAGAAAACTAACCAATCCTTGAGCAGGAGCTCTAGCCAATGTGAGCTCAGCATTGAAATCTGACCAATCCCCACTCTGGAAAATTCCACCCCCGAAAAGCCCTATATAAATTCTGTGTCTCTTCAGCTTGTGGCTGTCCGTACTACCTGGCTGTCCTCTGCTACTCTGGCTGAGGGCAGCCACTCTCCTGGATAAACCCCTTCGATGAGCTTTGGGTAAAGACCTTCCGACCCTGGTCAGAGCAGAGCAGAGTGAGCAGAGCTGTAACACTTTTGTCAGGGAAACCTTCCCTTGGCAGACTGGAGTTGTTGCACTCTGCTCTCCACTCTCTGGAGAGCAGAGCTGAACTGTAGCAACTTCACCTGGTGAAACCTTCTCTTGCCAAGCAAAACTGCTACACTGGGCAAACATCCTCAGCTGGAAGACCCTCTCCTGCTGGAGCAGAGCAGATACATCAGGGAAGCCTTTCCCTGAGGCAGGGATGTAAGCTGCTACACTTACTGCAGCCACCTGTGGTGGTCCTTGGCTCCTGAGCCCCAGGATACCTTTCCATCTGAGCTGTGTAACACTTAGTATTCTGCGGCTCCCAAGTGCCAGAATACCTGTCCCACCCGATCCGACCAAAATGCCTACAGAAGCTCTCAGTGCCCTTAACTACTGAGCTTCTTTTGACGAGAAGCTTGCTCAAGTCCATTTGTCTGTATTTTCTTTTAGAGTTCGTGCTCCCTGCCGCCTCAGAAGTCATGAGGTCTTTACACGCACTGCCAATGCTTCCGAAGCTTGGTTTTTGTCTTTAGCGAAAGGTGCTCTTCGGTCGTGTGTGTGGTGTGAGGAAGTCAGCGAAGTTATTTGCCCACACAAGTAACCATTCAGAACACAAAAACTGCAGTAGAATAAAGCTCACGATTCTTTTTAAGTACTTTCATTCCTCAGAACACCTTAATTCATCTGTTTAAACCCAAGTGGCAGCCTCTTGAACGTCACTTATCATCACATACTATTGTTTTAAGACTGTAAGGCCAGAAAGATGGCTCAGCAGTAAAGGTGTTTGCTCCCAAACCTAACAACCTGAGTGTGATCTCCAGGACACACATGGTGGAAGAAGAGAACATATTTCTCCATATTTTCCTCTGATCTCTACACAGGCATCACAGCACACTCTCCTGTACATGCATCATGACACACTCACGTGCACATGCATCATGACATACTCACATGCACATTATGACACACTCACATGTACATGCATCATGGCACACTCACGTGCACATGCATCATGACACATTCACACATGCATCATGACACACTCACGTGCATATTATGACACACTCACATGTACATGCATCATGGCACACTCATGTGCACATGCATCAGGACACACTCACATATACATGCATCATGACACACTCACATACATATGCATCATGACACACTCACATGCACATGCAAATAATAAATAATAAGTATAGAAACAGTTTTCAAGAAAATTGTTAAGAGTTATATAGGAAGTACTTCATTCTAGACAAATATATTGTGTTCTAGTTTCATCAAAAAGGAGTTAATTTATTAATTCAATTTTTACAAAATTAACATCTGATTATTATAGAGAAGTTACAAAAAATTGTTTTTGAGATAGGGAATCACAATGTAGCCCAGGCTGGCCTTGACATCTTGATCTTCCTGCCTCAGTCCCCCAAGCCCTAGGGTTACAAGCATGTGCTACCACACCCAGCTTGAACCTTTTCACTATAATTTTATACAACTTCATTGCAGTTGGTAAAGTCTTTCAGATGTGTGCAGCCATGAAGACATTGTAAAGGAAGAGTAAGTATACAACAAGCATTCTTGATTGGATAACTTAGTACAAACCAATAATCACATTAATACAGCAATGAATTCAGACAAAGCAGAGGAAGATGATGAAGCCGAGAGAGAAAATAACTAGAAAGTGTCTTCTTGTATTCCTAGAGTGACTCAGATCCCAATGGCTTGTCTAAATTCATGGCTTTGTGGTTCCAAAATATCATAGAAAACTTGGGTTTTATTAAAGTAGTCTCGAATGTAAAGTAAATCTTCAGTGGGATAACTGTCATTCTTTCCAGTCCAAACAGTCAGGCTGTACCTGTATTAAGACAGATGTGTACAAGAAAAGTGAAAGATAAGAAACCGGTAAAACAAAATTCCCCAAAGCCTACCGCAGTCTAAGCACTCTGCCTGGCTTCATTCCTTCATCAACATCACAGTGACCAAACACGAAACAGCTCCCCGCTGCTGCCTCAATCATAAGCCACTTCTGTTTCACTTACAAGGATGTTCCGGGGCTTAGAAACCCTCGCTGCAGCACAGAAAACCAGGCACAATTTGTAAACAGAGCCGATCAATCAAAGACTCTGTCCCTTAAGCAAGATTACAGCTGTATCCCTGGCTTTGCTCAGGAGTCTGGTCAGAGTGCAACAGAACGCATGATGGAAGAGACTGAAGTGACCAAGTGGCACTGTCACTCCCAACACTCAGTCACTCATGATTCGCCTCGGAGGTTGTCCCATGACATGACAGAATGCCAAGAGACGCCACTGCAAGAGCAAATGTTTGTTGGTGAGAGAGCTCATCGGGAAAAAACACCTATTGCCAAGCCGGACGACCCGAGGTCAATCCTGAGACCCACCTGGTGGAAAGAGAGAATCAGCTCCTGTAAACTGTCCTCTGGCATCTGCAGGCACATGTCACCCCCCCCACAAGATACATAAGTACAAGGAAAAAATAAGAACACATGCAAAATTTTACATATACACGAACATGCCAGAGTCGGGGGATTATTTGCTCTATTTCCCTTTTTATTGATGTGGCTGCTACACCATGCCTGGGGACGCCACACTCTTCAGTAGTCACATTCCTTTTTCCCATAAACTTGTTAATGCAAAGAGACCTCTAAAGCATTTCTGCCACTAATGAAACACAGGTTATCAAGGAGCACGGTTGTTAAGCTGCCTTCCTGATGAGAATTGAAAGTAAAGGAACACAACAGAGGGGAATACTTCAGATTTAGTTCCCACAAGTGATGTGTGACACACTGAAAAGAATTTTAAACTACAGCATAGGTCACCAAAAAAGAAAACGGTGAACATTATCTTTTAACTCTCTCTATTTTTTTTCTCAGCTGGAATCTATTAATTTATCTCAGTACCATGGGAATGAACCTTATAACAAGACACAGATATGATCATTTGGGTTAAGGAAAGAACTTCAGGTCATTTCTATCTCATTAAATAGCTCTCCATTTTACTAAAGCTGAAATGGGATAAATAAGATTATTAAAGGGTACCAAATTGGATTCATTTAAATCAATTCTCAGGATACATTTTTAAAAAATGGTACATAAATCACAGATGTAGGTTTTAACCAGTTATTATAAAGTAGATGTCAGTGTAACCAGAACACAAAGCAAGAAACTGGATGGGAACCACCTCAGGGGCAACTGTGTGTCCCTGCTTCACCACAGCCTGTCCTTGGACCCCTCCTCTCATCTGTTCTCTTCTTACTTCAGGAAGTAAGGCACATAAGGCAGATGCTTTGATTGAGGAAGAGGAAGAGGAAGAACACATATTTATCTTTACTCAGATTTCCACACAGTAGCCGATAGCTGGTTAATGAGGACTGTGTAGACAGGGGTTAGGCGTTAGTGACTGTGGTTAGGAGGACTGTGTTAGGAGGACTCACATGCACATGCATCATGACACACTCACGTGCACATCATGGCACACTCATATGCACATGCATCATGGCACACTCACGTGTTTGTAGGCAGAGGTAAGATGTTAGTGACTGTGGTTAGGAGGACTGTGTTATGAGGACTCACATGCACATGCATCATGACACACTCACATGCACATCATGGCACACTCACATGTGTGTGTAGGCAGGGATGAGATGTTAGTGACTGTGGTTAGGAGGACTGTGTTAGGAGGACTCACATGCACATGCATCATGACACACTCACGTGCACATCATGACACACTCACGTGCACATCATGGCACACTCACGTGCACATCATGGCACACTCACATGCACATGCATCATGGCACACTCACATGCACATGCATCATGACACACTCACGTGCACATCATGGCACACTCACATGTGTGTGTAGGCAGGGGTGAGATGTTAGTGACTGTGGTTAGGAGGACTGTGTTAGGAGGACTCACATGCACATGCATCATGGCACACTCACGTGTGTGTAGGCAGGGGTGAGACATTAGTGATTGTAGCTAGGGAGGACTGCATAGACGGGAAAGGCTTTTCACAGCAACCCTGTGGTTGTATTTGGTTTTTGAACTCATGAATTAATGATTGAGAAATTAACTTCAGAGCCACTAAAGGAGAAATAAAAAGGCAGGATAAATGCTACATGAGATTGTGCGACAGATGCTGGTGGCTTTAAAATTTCCCATTTTTCTTACATAACAAACCACTTCATTCTGTCTACACATTATACAAATGAAAGCCACATTTCCTGGACTTATCTGCTGCTGGGAATAGTTACAGATTGTGACAATAGGTGAGTACAAGAAGAAGACATGTGACTGCCACACTGCAAAACAGTCCCCAGCCTTCTCTGCCCATGGAAATCAAACCTCATCAGAAGATAGGGAGAAGCCTTCTACATGTTCACAGAGGGACAGTTCATCCAGAAGGTAGAAAACAATTAGAAGTATTTTTGCACTGAATTTTAGGACTTTCAACTTTATAAAGCAAACACTAAAGGGCATGCAAGGTTAGATAAGTCCTGATCATTATAGTGGGGGACTTCAGGACCCCACTCTCATCCTTAGGTTGGTCCTTCAGATCCCCCCAAATCATCAGAGAAATGTCAGAGATAAATTATGCCACATATCAAGTGATGGCTGCAGGACATCTCAGCCAACTGACAGGGAACAAATAATTCTCAGTGGCAGATGAAATCTCTAAAATCAATTAAATTATAGATCACAACGCAAGACTTAATAAAACTGAAATACCTCCTACTAATGTACCATACTATACTGAACTAAAAGTATAAGTCAACAGCAAGAGAAGCCACACAAACTAAGTCAACACTCAGAGACTGAGTGATGCACTTTTGTTATTTAATTGATCTATTTACTTCTGAGGATCAAACCCAGGACTTTGTGTGTAATAGGCAAGCACTCTACCAACATTCACACCCCCCCCCCAAAAACACTTTTGAATGAATAATGAGCCACTGAGTAAAGCAGAGAGAGATAATTTTTGAAATCCCCAGAATAAAATAACAGCACAACTCACTGGAACCCTAGCGTCAAACTAAGGAAGTTCTAACAGGAAAGCTGCCTCTAACACTGCCAGAGGAAAGCAGAGGGGGTGTAGACACAGGCAAGGCCTTTTAAAACAGCTCTAAAAGCATAGGAAATAACTCCAGGAATTAACAATGGAGTGACATGAAATTAGAAAGTTCCTGCACAGCAAAAGAAACCACCATCCACGAGCACAGTCCACAGGATGGAAGTCTGTGCTGGCGGCCCTTCAGAGCTAACATTTAGAATACAGAAAAAGAACTGCAAAAGTTAACCACCCAAATCCTAAATCTTTCAATCAATAAATAGACTAACAAACCGAATAGAGCGTTCTCAAAAGAACAGAAAGACAGAAAGAAAATAATATCTTTAAAACTCTTCAACATTTTTAGCCATAATGCAAATATAAAGTTCGGGATTCCATATTACCACAAGAAAACAAATTCTGGAGAGGATGCAGGAAAAGATAAACCACTGGAGGAAATGTAAAACTGCACAGCCACTAAGGAAAGTGGTGTAGAAGTTGCTCAAAGAACAGAAGATAAAACTACCACAAGACTTAGCTATGACACTGCTGGGCATACACCCAAAGGATTCCGAATCCTATTACACAGATAAGCTGCACATACATGTTTGCTGCCACACCATTCACAATAGGAATGAAACCATCCTAAATATCCATTAGCAGATTGCTGGAGAAAATGGGGTACATATACACAATGGGATTTTATTCAGCTATAAATAAAATGAAATCACAACATTTGTAGAAAAATGGAGTTGAAAATTATTATAGTAAAGTATCCCGGAGGCATTGGTTTTAAAGATATGGAGACCATCTGAGGCTTGGTGCTGTGTGGCAGGTCTGGAGCTCCTAAAGAGAGCCCAGGAAAAGGACTCTCGCAGTTTTGAAAAGTCACCAGAAACACCAGCCACAGGGAAATGGAGCCAGCAGGGACCTAGAGGGCAGGCTATGTCTATGCTGCTGAGGGCGGGGCCAGAGAGAAGACCCAAGTTCCTTGGGGAAACCCAGAGGGCTATGAATGAATCCAGATACTGGGCATTGAATTGTTTGCATTTTTAGAGTTTGGTTTTGCTTATGCAGATTATGTTTATGACCTGTATCTTCCCTCTTGAAGTGGAAAAGGTATTTCATTTTTTGATATTTCAAGAATATTTAAACTTTCTTAAAAGGAAATTTTTTAGTTTTACAGAAGAAAATTAAAAACCTGGATATTTTTTTAAAGAACAGCTTTGAAAATATTTAAATTTATAAGGCTATGGGACATTTCAAGTTTACAAGGTGTTTTATATTATTAATATATTATCTTGTTTTTTTTTGGTTTTTCGAAACAGGGTTTCTCTGTATTGTTTTGGAGGCTGTCCTGGAACTCGCTCTGTAGACGAGGCTGGCCTCGAAATCACAGAGATCCACCTGCCTCTGCCTCCCGAGTACTGGGGTTAAAGGCGTGCGCCACCACCGCCCGGCTGGGGCTGTACTCTTAATGCCACCTCCAGGCACATACTTCCAGCAAGGCTGTACCACCCAAACCTCCCCTGAACAGCATCACCAACTGGAAACCAAGTGTTGCATTACCTGAACCTATGAGGGACATTCTCATTCAAATCACCATAATAATTCTTTTTTTTTTTTTCCCCCTAGATAGGGTTTCTCTGTGTAACAGCCCTGGCTGTCCTGGCACTTGCTGTGTAGACCGGGCTGGCCTCGAACTCACTGAGATCCATCTGCCTCTGCCTCTCAAGTGCTGGGATTAAAGGCATGTACCACCACTGCCTGGCAAAGAATGGTATTT